ATCCGATGTTAGCATAATAGATTTTAGATAATGTGCTTCTTTTTTGGTTTGTCTATCTGGAGAGGCAAGGAGTGTAGTATACATTATATCGATAGATTCCCGAAGCTGAAGCAATCTAGTTTACGCAATATAAGATGAATTCTATCTAGTAATTATGTCAGCAGTAGCACATAAGTATGATTCTTTATTGGTATTTATTTCAGAGGTTGATTTTTTAACACCATTTGAGCTTCTTCTAATCGTTCTGTCTATTTATTTAGTTAAAGTATTAGAAAAATAAAATAGTTTATTAAAAAAAAGATTTACAATATAATTTTAACAATAAGAAAAAAAAAAGCAAACTAAAGATTAAAAAAAATTAACCTGTTTTGGAGATGATAAGAAATTAATTAGACGTCTTGCTCTTGTTACAAGTTTTTCTGCAGGCTTAAGCCCTTTTCCAATAGCCAATTGTAAAGTATGTGCAACACATGGTATTCATTCAGTACTATACATTAAAGATATTGCCTTAATTATATTTGCAGCATTATCTGTAGTAACAGTAGTTACTTTACGATCTAATTTCCATAAATTATCAAGAACTGCTTGAATAGTATTAGCATTATGAGGATATGCTAAGTAAATAACAGCTAATGTAACTTCTTGTAATTGAAATTTTGTATTAACAAAATGGCAAGTAACTCCTAAATATACACTTTTTGATTGTGCGGTCCAAAGATCACATGTTAAATGACAAAACCTAACTTTATTCTTCAAGATCTCTTTTAAATGAGCAGATGCAAGATTATATCCTTCATTAATTCGAAGTTTAATTTGTTTGTCAGATGGTAAATCATAATAAGGATCTAATACTTTAAGTAGATGAATAAAACTTAAACTTTGTGCTACAAAAAAGGGCTAGAAATCATCGATTATCCATGTAACTAATGCCTTTTCTATTTGTTCAATATGTGCAGAGTTTCTACCTATGGCAAGTCAGAATGAATCTTCAATTTTAGACTGAGATTTTGAGAATTAGTTGAGTTGGTTCCTTTTGTAACTTCATAACTTCCTAAATGTGTTGCAAAGTTTCGTGTTGATCCTTGTGTACGAATTATTTGACCACAAATACGTTTGCTATTAGAAGAATTTCTATCATCAACTTCAATCAGGCAACTTCCTTGTTTTTTGTATTCAGATGTTGATTGTAAGATTTCAAAATAATTCCATACCCAACCTCTATTTTTATGCACTTTAAAACTTGTAATTGATCATTTTTTAGTAGGTCGTTTTTGAGAAGGATTACTTGCTGTTTCTTCTATTCTATTAGTTTCGCTATTACTACTAGTAGAGTCATCATCATAG